AATTCCAACCACGTAGATTCTTTTTACTTAGGCTAGCAAACGATTTTCAATCGAAATATGTATGAGAATCGAAAGTACACAAATCTTAATGTAACCTAATGACAATCGAAAGCGCTATTTTTGGTATTTTGTATTTAAAGCACTCGAAGTAAAGAAAGCAGTAAAGTGTCAAATCGAAAAGCAGTACAGAATATAAAGCTGCGAAGAGATGTAAATTACGGAAACCCCAAATTTGCATTAAATGTAAACGACAAAGAATCGAAATTACAGAAATGTAAATAACAGGAAATCGAAATTGCATAAAGTGTAAACATCGAAAAACTTAGATGCATAATCTTAAAAAGTCATATAACAAGGAATCGAAAGTACATGAACTTAAAGTTGCTTGAACGTAAACTGCATCAAAGTAAATTACATGAACATAAATTATCAGGGAAAGTAAAGAAAGCGATAAAGGCAGTCAATGAAAATGGAAATCCAGATCGCCAGAAACTTCATGATTGTGTCGTTCTCCGGTAGACTTCTCACTAGTATTTCTATTCTCTCTGCCAATTTCCCCTCTTCTTTTCTCAGTCTTCGCTCTATTTATAGAGCATCTTTCAAGTAACCTCCCAAGAGTGGTTAATACCACTATCACCACGATCCTACGTGCCCGTTCTTTTAGTCTTAGTTTTAAAAACTGCACTCCACGTTCTTACGTATAAGAGAACTGCTCCTCCTTCGATCTCTGTTGCGGTTTAGAAATTGTTTCCCACGTTCCCTGTGTGTGTTAACCGCTCCCTCGATCTCGATTTCAGACATCGAGTATTTTAAATTTTACTTTTGATTCCCTTTTATTTTGTACTATTCTAACTTCAACAATAGACATCGAAATTTTGTTTCTTCGATTCTCGATGTACTTTTATCTTTGTGGTTACCAGGTATCTTTCATCACTTTCATCGAAAAATACGTTCTCGATGTCTTTTACCAATCGTATGATCTTCGATTTTTTCTTTCTTTCGTTTTTTCGATCCCTTTATCGATTTCCCATTAACAATAAGAAATTAATTTATTTTTAAAAAATATTATAGTTGTGTTTAACATTAAAAAAATAGTTATAGTGATTTTTAACTATTCTAATGTCATATTTTAGAAACTACGTGCAAATAAATGAAAAGTTTGATGATTAAGAATTTCCGAGTCATACTTTTACAAACTCATACCTATCCATAATTTTGAGTATATTCTGAAAACCCATTAAGTCCGAGATATATCATTAACTCTATTGATATTACTCTTTTAATAAATTTGTTATATAATTCTTATTATTAAACATATATTATTTGAATAATATACAAATAAATTTTGACAAATAATTAATATTTGTGTGTGTATGTTTGAGTAATTTTTGCATGTAAATAGAGAGATGTGAGATTTGTTTGGGGCGTATATTAATTTCGTGTGGCATTGTTTCACTGCTTGTTTGATTAGAAGACGTAACGGAGTATGTAACCTCTGGAAGAAATAAAACCTACACGTCATGTAAAGAATAAATGCTTTTCATGACTAAGAGGAAGCAAGTAGCAAATAATGGAAAGAAAGGAATATTCTTTCCATCTTTATCTACTGCAACATGTTTATACTTTACTATCTGCTTTATACACGTATATATCCAATATTATCTATGCATCTTCATGTATACAAGCATTACTGGGAGAAAAGGATAACACATTACAAACTCAAATAATTAGGAAAAAGAGTGAGGTGAAGAAATGTCAGACAAAATAACATGTTGCTTCTGACATTACATTTTAGTGGACCATGCTAGTTTGAAATATTTATTTTTTGGCTTATATAAGTTTCTTTTCATAAAAGGTGCTTGGGACTAAATTGGAAGGCAGAATTTATTATTATAATTATGAAAGCAGAGGAGATTTATTTATCGACTTTTTTGTGTGTACAGGCTTATTGGATCAATAAGTATGGAACAATGATATTTTGTGTTTTTTTTTCCTCAAAATCAATATTATAAAAATTTGAATATGACTTACACAGTATTCTCTTCCATTTTTTTATCTTATCAGTAGAAATTGAGAGTTTATAACAATTTGAATATTTTTTATTTTATTTCTCTCTTTAATATATAAATAACTGTTATATTTTCACTCGTGGTCCCTATTAATTAGGAACTATGATTGTCGGATTGGCCTGCTCCATATTCTTGATCGGATGTACTTTCATTGTTGTTAGTTAGTTTGGAAGTTGTAACTACCATATTAAGCACAAACCAACATATATATATATATATATATATATATATATATATATATATATATATATATATATATATATACACTAGATTAATTTAAAAATATTCCGATTGGTCCAAAATTTTGTATAGTTTAACAAGCGAAATCGATAATGATTTAAATAAATTGTGAAAAATCGAATTCCAATTTTAAAATATACAATACCATATTGAATTGAAACCTCAAAATAGCACTAGACGTAGCAATGCCATATTAAAAGACTTTAAAAATATTTCTATTAGATTGAGCAATTTAAAATAATATTTTAAAAAATTTAATCTTACCTAACTGGAAAACAAAATTGACCCTAATACTAATCACTCTATTATAGCCGCCTTGTACGTAGCCTTTTTAATTGTTAGTTGGTGATGACACTCTTAATTTGGCGGTTGAGTAGGTTTCTCTTGATGAAAGTATATTCTCATTTCTCAATTTTTTTTTTCTTTTATGTTTGAAGAGTTTCACAACAGTTAAATTATATATTGGTATTTATTTTTAATTATAAAAGAAATATAATATTTATTTTATGAATTATTTAAAAAATATTTTTTAATATATTATATATTAATTGTATTCTCTTATTTTTTTTCAGAGAATATTACGATTTCTCTTTTAATTTAAAAAGAAGTATTATAAATTTTCTTAATAGTAAAATTTTGTTATTAATTATATTTTTCATTTTTATCTTTTATTTTAATTATAAATTCTTATTTTTTATTTTAATTGAAAGTTTTTATGTTGTCATTCTGATTTCTAACCAGTATATATTTTTCTATTCCAGATTGGAACACATAGAGAGAATGAAACACGCAATAATGTACTCATTAATTGGAACAATTAAGTTATTTCCCTGTATAATGTTGTAACACAAGATTATGTGTGAAGAAGAATTATTGGCTGGGACATAGATTTTATTTAGGCGTATGGGAGACATTCTGGAGTAAAATTATTGAATTCAGATTTGTGAGTCTGTGTAGTTCCCTCGTGAGAGATGTGTTCTTGTCTGTCTCTGTACCATCGTCATGTGTTTCAGCTTTCAATTGTTTTTGTCTGAAATCTGAAATCTGAATGATTTCCACCAGCGTACACAGGTAACAAAAATTATTGTGGTCAGTGAAAAACTATGGGTGACACAAATCAATTCTTGTCCATGCAACTTTTCTTAACCACAAAGCCAAGTCACCTAAAATTACTGTCCCTTTGAAGAAGTAAATTATATTTGGCACCACATCGACAGTTTCTGTTTCTCTATGTTCCCTGTCGTTCCTAATCTCTATTTGAGTATTTTGTTTCACTGATTTATATTATTTATATATCTTCCATTCAATTTGATTTGTTTACTGTCAGCTTTCTCTTTATAGGTTGTCAATGTGGTTGCAATCAGATGCATCCCGAGACATTAAATTTCTTTTTCATTTGGTCCATGGACAAAAAAAATTTATTTTTCATTTTCTTTCCACTACACTAATCAATACACCTAGATGTCCCTCCCCTATGGTAGTTAGAGAATAAAAACTGAAAGCGTAATTGTCCAACACTTTCACTTAATAAACGGCTTCATATATAGTTGATGAGAAAAGCAAGCGAGAAAGTAACTTAAATTAGACCTTTAAACTTCCCTTAATTAGCAAGTTGAAAATTTTTGCTTCCCACGCAACTGAAAAAATAAAAATAAAAAAAATTCAATAAACAGTAGGAACGCAAGGACGTGAAAAGTTCAATTTGGCTATCTAACCTCGTTTTCTTTTGTCTATATTTTAGACAAAGGGAAGGATAAGCTTGTGTAACTTACGACAATAGCTAACACACACACAAAAAAAAAGAGGTTAAAGCGAAACTTTCAATCGTATTTGTATTGAGTCCAAGTAGGTGAATCTGAAGCCTGACTTCAATTCGTGGGTCCAAACATCACTCTCATCCTTGCATTTTCGTCTCCATTTCCCCATCAGCTTCGTTATCTTGATACTGTGTCTGTCATATTCATCCCAACCCACATGTCATCACTTATCAAGGTATCAAGCAAATGAAAATACCCTCCTTCAACCTATAGCAGCACCTTGCTTTTCCCACAAACTCACCAAATGCCACAACCCTAACTAAAATTGCATACCATTCAATGCCTTATGACTTATGTATATTCGGTATCAATCCATAATCAACCAAGAATGCAAATTGACAATGGTTTTGATCATATAGGGTCAAAACCGTAACTAATCGCAATTTAATTACATAGTGGGGCAAGGCAAGACAAGAGAAACGTAACGTAACGCAAGCATTTTAAGATTCAACAGTCATTTGTTTGAGTTGTCAATTTTCATGAGCTAGTAGTAAATTTTAATTAGTTTGAAGGGTTAGAATTATGCTATTGAATGCAGAACCGAGTATCATGCGTTTCGTTTTCTTGCCTTATATTTGTCTTTACTGATGTTTCACTCCACAGGCATGCCAGAAAACATCAAGGACATTTCACACATGGAAAATCCCTAGAAGAAAAAGTGCCCTTGTCTCTTGTCACCTTCAAATTCAATCCCTCCTCCTCTCTCTGACTCTCTCACGGTGCTACCAAATTCTTTCCTCCTTCATATGCAAGCACTAGCGTAACCTGCGACCACTTCTTTAGTTTCTTCTGCCTTTTTCCCCTTCCATTACAAAATTGTCTTCATCCTTGTAATTTTCATGTCGGCTTATTTCTGAGAGAGAACCATTTTATAATGAGAGGCATAGCATCCTGTTACAACGAGCATGCTATTAGAGTGTCTGATTCATATTGTTCGAGGCCTTCAAACCAGGCCTATCTTTGCCCAAAACTGAACCCTTCCACCAGAGATTCAATCACCTGCATGTACAAAATCTCAAGGCAAAAACAACTCTTCATCACACTAACTTGGACCAAAAAACTCTTAGGCCAAGGCTTCACCATAACCATCGCCAACTCCGACCATTCTCCCTCCAAATTCAACGCCAGAGAATTGAAAAAACCCATAGGCAACGAAATATTTCAATCCCACAATTTCCAAATCCAAGTCCTCTGGGATCTGTCCAACGCCAAGTACGAGGATGGGCCAGAACCGGCTAATGGGTTTTACGTCGTCGTTTTGGTGGACTCCGAACTGGGCCTACGCCTCGGCGACGAAAACCCCTCAATGGAAGAATTATCAGACACAAAGGAAGCGAATTTCTCGATGGTTTCAAGGAGTGAGACGTTTTCCGGAACTTCGGTTTACGGAACGAAGGCTAAATTTTGCGAGACGGGAATTTCTCACGATATATTGATAAAGTGCGGCGCGGAAGAAGGAGCGTCGAAGGGTCACGTGTTGTCCGTGTGCGTGGACAAGAAGACAATGTTCCAGGTGAAGAGGTTGCGATGGAACTTCCGCGGCAACCAAACAATTTTTGTGGATGGTTTGGTCGTGGATATGATGTGGGATGTGCATGATTGGCTTTTCAATCCCAATTCTGCCTCTGCAGTGTTCATGTTCAAAACGAGGAGTGGCCTCGACAGTAGATTATGGTTGGAGGAGAAAACTTTGCACGCCCTCAAGGAACAGGACAAAATAGGTTTCTGTTTGGTGATCTGTGCATGTAAGAACCTTGATTGATTCAATCGTTTTTGGATTTTTTAATTCAACTGGATTTTCTAAGATTAAAAAGACTGACACCTTATTAGATTTTCTTCTTACTTAATAACTGCTGCTGATGATCTTTGGTCAGTGCTGATGTAATCGTGGCCATTATAGATGAACGTTTAGAGGTTATATTACTTGTAATATTGGAAGTGGTTTTTTTCACACCAAAAATTGTTAGACATGTGTGTGTTTTAATGATCTTGTTCGTTCTTGTTTATTAATGGGGATGGTTGGAGGTTTGGACTTGTGTGGGGCACTCGAGGTGGCAAAACTGGAGTTTGTGTGTCAGATCATACATACTTCACAACAATTTCTTGAATTTTCTGCTTTTCATAACTGATGTGTGGTTTGGGATTCTTATTAGTTGGATATAAACCTTTTGCTGTATTTGTTTTTTGTTACGCTGAAATATTCATGTCATCATAAATTTTTAGCATAAACATAAATGTTTACATGTTCAAAATTTTATATTATTACAATTAGTTTATGTATATATATGTTACACGTTATAAATTTCACATTTTAAATTTTTACAGATATATAGCTTATTTATAACTGTTAAATATATTGGTAATTTATAAATTCCATATCATCTTATTACGTTGTACATTTTAAGTTTATTATGGATTTTTACATAGTGAAATCCATACCATCGTTAAACATTTTATATTATTATAATTATTTTACTTGTGTAAATGCTATGAATCTTCCATTTTAAGTTAAACATATTTATAACTCATAAATTTTGTGTGATCATATTATACGTTATAAATTTTATCCTAAATATTATAATTTTTACTTTATCTCATAATTATTTTATGGTATAAATTTCATGTGATCTCGTCGTTGTAAATTTCTCGTTTTATAACTCATAACTCATCATATACGCTAAACTTAAACGTGTTTATCATTCATACATTTCATGTGATTATATTATACGTTATAAATTTCACATTCATTATATCTATGCAGTTCCTTTCCAACGAAACGTTTCTCCAATACTTAAGTAAAGAGATATACTAAACCTTTCTATAGGTAATATGTGTTAGAATAATTGGATTATATCGTATGTTTCAGTTATATCTATTTATTAGGGTTCGGTAAGTATTATTAAATATATTTATAACTTATGAGTTTCATATAATTTAAGTTATAATAACTATTTTAAGTTTAAAAAATTATATATCAGGATAACTATCTCACGTTTCTCTGTCATAATTTTCATGTTTTAAATAACGTAGATGCTTAACTTATTTTAATAGTACAATTTTTACAATATTGTAATCAGTTAACAAGTTTATAAGTTATAAATTTTAAAATTAATTTTATATCATTAAGTTATCACAAATATTTAGTTTATAGGTTTAAAATTAATTTTATATTATTATAATTAATTTATTTGTTTTAATGTTATAAAAATTAAAATTTAAATCATAATAGATATTTAATTTTTATGAATTTTTTTATCATTAAATATATTTGTAACTCATAAATTTCATAACACCACGTCGTAAATTTAAAGTTCAATATTTTAAGCTAATTACATGTGTTTAAGTTAAGATAAATGTTTAGTTTATATATGTTACAAATTTTATATGATTATAACTCTATGTTTGTTATTACAAATTTTACTTTTAAGTCATTGTTTAACTTATAATATTTGATTTATTTAAATAATAAAAAAGTAACATTATTACAATCATGTAACATATTTGTAACTTATAAATTTTTATATTATCACAATATTTTACATTATCATAAATATTTATTTGCATACTAAAAATAAATATTTAACTTATTTGGATATCAAAAAATTTACGTCGTTGCCATCATCTAATTTGATTGTAATTTTTAAATTTCATATCATTTGATATGTGACTTAGAAATTTTATATTACGTTTGCAATTATCATATTTGTTTAATAAGTTAGATGACGAAAATTTTATATCAGAATAACATGTTATAGCTAACAAATTTCATACTACTTACATGTTTTTTTATTATTATAGATATTTAACTTGGTTAAATAGTGAAAAAATTATATCATTAAATATTTTTGTGTCATTTCATATACGTATTTTACTTTTATTTTAATATTTTCAAAAATTTACCTGTTTAACGTGTATGTTTTAAAGGTTTCATGTTACTTATGAATAGCGTTTTTAATATTAAAAAATTAACGTCACAAAATATTTTTGCATGTTTATACGTTAAAAATCACATTATCAAAAGGCAAACGTGTTATTTTACTCTGAAAGCAAAAAAATATTCTTTACGTGCATTGCTTTTATTATTTTTTTTCTAAAATTGACATATATATATATATATATATATATATATATATATATATATATATATATATATATATATTAAAGAAAATGTGAGACCAAATCTAAACTTATTCTAAAATTTCAGAGACTAGAAATACAGATGTATATTTTAAATGACAGTGGAAACATAGAACTAAAGTGCTTATGTGTTTATATTTTTTTTTGTAATTAAAATTTGTTCAACTCTTTAAATATACCCATCTTTTTATTTACTTTTTCTCTTCTTTATATTTTTATTATTTTTAAAATATATAAATTATAATACCTGTTTTTTCTTTAAACTATAGCATTTTTTATTTTTTTTATGAAGATAGGAATTTCTTAGAAGGTATTTAAATATATATATATATATATATATATATATATATATATATATATTATTTATTTATTTGGATTAATATTTTAACATTTTTATTTGTTGGACTACAATACAGAGAAGGGGCATGGAGAGCCCGGTACTGTACCCATTAGGCTTTTAAAATGGTCCAAGTCCACTGGAAGTGGATGAAAACCCATTCCCTTAATTAAACGCATTTCCTATTTTTATTTTTTTTAACCTCTCTCTTTCTATATTTTTATATTTTGAATGTTGAAATCATATAGATCATAGTTTTTTAATTTATATAGCTATATATTTTGTGAAACAAAAAATAAAATAAATTATTCTGATCACATCATGCAAAAAAACAATAATAATATAATATTATAACTTGACATTTATTTAAATGTCAATTAAAAAAAAAAGATAGTAAATTGATAATTGATATGTATATGTCTCGAATTAAATTAATTTAATTTTTTTATAATTACAACAACAACGAAGAAAATTATTATTTTATGTAAAAAAAAAACTCAACAATTTTAAGCTTGACGTAATGTGGATCCAACTCAAACATGAAATGAAATATTATTTACTTTCTTGTTATGTGGACGAAGGATGAAATAGGAAGCTTTGTCTTTCCTTAATTAAATTTATTTTAAAAATAAAATATTGAAGCTTTTTTTTACTATATTTTTTACATAGTGATTTGTACCATTCCTCCAAAATTTAAATTTGAAAGAAAAAAGGGTGGAGAAGAGCACGTGGAGGGACACGTGGGGAAAGGAAGGTAGTACCTACTACGTCGTTTTAACTTGGAAAAAGTCCAAACGTAAACCTAACTAACCCTATGCGTTGTCCCATATTTGTCACCCAAAAAAATCGTACTACAATTTTAAAAATTTTAAATTGAATTTTAATGAAAATATTTTTAGGCATCATTTGACTATATAGCACAACTTATTCTTTTGATTTTCATAAAAGAAATTAATTTCCATAATATATACTCCGTATTATTTAAAATACAATATTATTGAATGAAAACTGTTTCAGGCATCATTAGAAAATTTTCCTTGTCTCTTACTTGTTTCAACCAGTTCTAATATACTTTTTCATCTTTATTTTTAAATTAAATTTCAATATTTTTTATAAATTAGTATTAAAACATAAAAATAATCTTATATATAACAATCTAAAACATTGGAAGGATATTATTATTCATAAAGAAAAATACGTACAGATTCTTTGATTTGTTATGATTAATATGTAAACGAATAAGCATATAGATTTTTTTCATTGTTCTATTTTATCCTTTGATTGTCTTGAAAAAAATAAAAGGTTATTGTTGAAAGTTAGTTACGAATATTGCTACGTTAAATCAGTTCCCGTTTTCATCCTATTATTTTAAATTGGAATCTGTTAAAAGAAAGATACAAATTGTGCAAAAGGAATAATTATCATTTTATTTTATTTAAAGTTAAAGAATAAATTAAATTACACTTTACTTTAACTTGGTGCTAAATGACTCTTACATTAGCATATATTCATGTATTTTTCTAAATTTAAAACAAATACACTTCTTTTTATACTTAATAAAATAATATTCATATTTCATTTTACTCTTTATAATAAGTGTTCATATTTTAAAAATATAGAAATTATGTATGTAAATATTAATCGATGAAGTAGAATTAGTGTATAATTCCATAAATTAAAATACATAACAAAATAAAAAAAAATTGTACTTTAATTTTAAAATATATTTATCCTGTTGTATTGTTTTTTAAATAGTTATATTTATATTAAATTAAAATTACATATTAATGAGCTAATGCTTTCAATAATGTTCTTATATCTATTTTTTTATTTTATATTGAAATAACATTTTTTTCTGAAAAATATAACTTTTAAATATGTTAGTATAATTTTGTGATATTTTTATTATATAATAATTAATCCATTCATTTTTTAAAATAAATTTAAACTTTAATTTTTTTTTTATAGTTCTTCTATTTAAGTTCAGTTATTATGAAATTTTGAAATAAGATAAAATAACTGAGTATTACATTATTAAAGTATAAAAAATGTGAGTGTTATTTATTAAAAAAATGAAAAGATATGAGTGAAAAATTATTGAAAAATATGAAAGTATTTATCTATTTAAAAATTAGAAAGAATATCACTATCACCTAACATAAGTCTATTGTTTCTTATCTCTGATTATTGATCACCAATATTTATGTTTCATTTGGAAAAATTAATTTAATAATTATTTAAAATTGAGTAATTTCTCATTTTAATTTTCTTAATTGTTTAGAGTTTTCATTTTCTCTCACAAAAAAAGTTAAATTTATTATTTTCTTAAACCCTTAATTAAAACACCAAACTCAGGTTAAATTCTAAAAACTAAGTCCTTTATCACAATAAATTCCCAATGTAGCATCTTTTAAAATATTATCAATTAAAATATCTTCTTATAAACCTTTTACATGTTATTTATCTCGTATCTGTCTCAAACCTTTATATATATATATAACAAAAACTGAAGCTCTTAAAGGAAAAAAAAACTACAATTAATTGTAAAAGATTTAAACTTAAAAACTTAGTTAAGAATATTTAAAAAGCTTTAAATTACATATTAATCTATAGTTAAAAATATAGTTAAACCAAACAAAAAGACGATTTCGATAACAAAGACAATGAAACTTATCTTTTTTAATATATATATATATATATATATATATATATATATATATTACTAACAAATAAAATATATTTAACTCTTATTATTTAATTATAATTCGATTAGTTAAGTGTATTTGTTTATTTTTAGGAACCACTATTAAACCAAGCAGAATGTTTTTGAGAATCATTTTTACCGAGTCAAATCTTTTAGCTTAATTCATATATTAAGCATTTCATTATTTAATTTATATTTTATTCAGTTTTACTCTAAAGTAATATAAATATATATATATATATATATATATATATATATATATATATATATATTTATATATATTTAATATAATAACAACTATGTCGGATTTTGTTATTAATCTAACTAAAATACTTTTTTTTCTAATATCTTTATCTATACACTTAATTTTATTACTAAACTATCTCTTCCAATTTAGTATTTTTATCTTTAGTTTTATCAATGGCTAAAAACAATCTTATATCACAATTGAAACTATTTTTACAAAAAAAATCATTTATAATTGTATTTAATTATGTGTTTTACCATTAACTCTAGCCAGTTTGAAGTGCTGATATAAATAGCTAACACAACGAAGAATATTAAATAATTTATTAAAACAACAATATTTTAAATTTAAATAGTTATATTATTTTTAGATGCACGATTAAAACGAAGTAATATATGTATCATTTTGAATAATAAGATAATCATCTAACTTAAATTTAATATATTATGAATTTTATTTTTCATTATTTAACATTGTTCGTACTTTTCGTGGCAATAATTTATTTTTTATACTATAATTTTTGAAAGGATTAATTTACTTCCAATATTATATTTCTGTGAAAGGTATAATTTATTAGACACTTATAAAACATTAAATGCTACTTATGCAGTTGTGTTAATTACTAAAGAATAAAACACTTTAATGTGCATAAATCATGATTACTTGAGTGAAGGATTATGTAGTCTTTATAAAAAAACTCATTACAATTAATGATAAATGTAAGGTAGAATTATTGTTTTGGAAAAAAATAATAATTAAAAGTAATATTTAATGGAACACAAAACATTTAAACTAATTATTTAATACACATTAAATGATAAATGATGTAAAATTTTACCATACTTTTTTTGTGGTATCTTTTTTTATCTAATATTATTAAGCCGTAAAAGAGGGACATGAACTTGGAAACCCACCTACCTTATTCCAGGGCCAACCCAGCTTACAGTCATAAATAGTCACCGAAACCTCTCACATTTCACACTCTCGTTTTAAAACCCTTCTCTTCTCTTCCTTCTTCCACCTAATCAAACCCAAACCCCTCTAATCAGTTTTTCCATCAAGCTTAAGCCACCATGTCTTCCTTCAAGAGCAAATACCAAGGTACTCAAGTTGTTTCATTATTATTTTGTCATACATGCCTTCGAGGTTTCTCGTTTTCTCGTTGAATTTATCATACCATTTTTTTTTTTCATCTTGTGTTGAATGGTTGTGCTATCTACTAGGCTGTGATTTTGTCTCCTGGGTATGCCGATTTAGATGTAAAAGTTTGATATTTTCAACATGGATGGATTTTTTGTTATATGTTTCTTTATCCTTCTTCATATTTTTGCGACTGAAGATGACCAAATAAATTTAAATTATAGATCCAGATTCCGTTCTGTGTTTGAGTATTTTTTTAAATGAATAATTTTTTTTCCATGATTGTGTTTTCTGATTGGAATTGGAGATCAAGCTTCGAAATTTACGTTTTATGGATTTGATTTTTTACTTTTGTGCATGTATGTCCCTGAATTCTCGTGTGATTATTATATTTTTTCCGTTCCTTATATTCAGTGGTTTTGTTTGGGATATTCTTTATAATTTGAAAAACAAGATCAGGTATCGAACTGTTTATTTATTTATTTTTTTAAGTAATGCTTTAATCGTTTTTGGGCTTGGTGATCTCTTTCATGAATTTAGATATGTGTTGTTAAATGATAATGTTGGTCAAATCTCTAAAAAAATATACATAAATGTTTCCTGTACCGATCAACATTTCTAAACTTTATTTTTACAAGATGTCATTTTTTATTTTATATATAAAAATGATTTCGGTATAGCCTGTCTATTTTTATTCAACAGAACTACTTTGATCAGTTTTCAAATTTTAAATAAGTTATTTTATCCATTTTCAGGGAGGTGAAAAACTTTTGAGAGATGTTTATTTTCACCTGCCTTCTGCTCATGTATATGGTCTGATGAATTTATATGAATTGCAGAGGAACTCATTGCCAATGCTGCTTACATTGGCACCCCCGGGAAGGGTATCCTTGCTGCTGATGAGTCAACTGGTACAATTGGTAAGCGTTTGGCCAGCATTAGTGTTGAGAATGTTGAGACAAACAGGCGTGCTCTTCGGGAACTCCTGTTCACCACGCCTGGTGCTTTTGAGTGTCTCAGTGGTGTGATATTGTTTGAGGAAACCCTGTACCAAAAGACAGCTTCAGGTATTGTGTTCAGTTTTGCAATATTTAAAGGATGCATTACTGTACTTGTTAAGTTTGAGTTATGATGTATGTTCTTTATTTCTTAAAAGCATTTTCCAAAGTATTGAATTTTTCTGAATTCTCCCTGATTATCTTTCTGCTAATCCTGTCACTTGTTATCATTCTATGATAATAATGCATTTACTTTTTTACAGAATGTTTTCTTTATCAAGTATTAGGAGGATAGGATGATAATTGAGGATAGTCTAATAGTATATAGCATTACTCTTCTCAGTGTCTGTCTAGACCAAGCCATAGTTTTCAGTTTTCATTAGTTTCTGAACCTTTTTAATGTAATTGATTGCAGGAAAACCCTTTGCAGAGTTGTTGAAGGAAGGCGGGGTTCTTCCTGGTATTAAGGTTGACAAGGGAACTGTGGAGATTGCTGGAACAAATGGTGAAACTACCACCCAAGGGTTGGATGGCCTCGGTCAGCGTTGCCAGAAGTACTACGAAGCTGGTGCCCGTTTTGCCAAATGGCGTGCTGTGCTCAAGATCGGTCCTAACGAACCATCTGAGTTGGCTATCCATGAAAATGCCTATGGTCTTGCTCGTTATGCAGTCATATGCCAGGAGAATGGCCTGGTACCTATTGTGGAGCCAGAGATCCTGGTGGATGGACCTCATGACATCAACAAATGTGCCGCTGTGACTGAGCGTGTTCTGGCTGCATGCTACAAGGCGCTAAATGATCACCATGTTCTGCTTGAAGGAACTTTGTTGAAGCCCAACATGGTGACTCCTGGTTCTGAGTCTCCAAAGGTCACCCCAGAGGTGATAGCTCAATACACTATTAGGGCGTTGCAGCGAACCGTTCCTGCTGCAGTTCCTGCCATTGTGTTCTTGTCTGGTGGGCAGAGTGAGGAGGAGGCAACCCTTAACCTCAATGCCATGAACAAGCTCCAGGTAAAGAAGCCATGGTCTCTTTCTTTCTCTTTCGGAAGGGCACTTCAGCAGAGCACTCTCAAGGCATGGAGTGGGAAAGATGAAAACGTTAAGAAGGCTCAGGATGCTTTCATTGCCAGATGCAAGGCAAACTCACAAGCAACCTTGGGAACTTACAAAGGTGATGCTACCCTTTCTGAGGGTGCTTCTGAGTCTCTCCATGTGAAGGACTACAAATACTAGAGCAGGTGTTGGCTTCTTTTGGAGGGATTTTTGTACTATTGCTACCTACATTTTCATGTTCTTTCCTAGGAGTTAGACTAGACCGTTTTGCTTTGCGCTGAGTTATAGGGTTAAGGAATAATGCATCAAGCTAAATTGGCTTGGTGTCGTTGCTTTTCATGTTGTTTTTTCCCTTGGATTTCTATGATTTAGTTGTGTATTGTGAAGAAGTTTCATTCTCTGTTTCAATGCGATTTGGATGTGAAAAAGCATTTTTCTAATACCATATTTGCATAAAACATTGCCCATGCTAGTACCCGATTTGAATTTAGTTATTATTCATGAATTATATGAAAAATTTTCATGACTAAAATTACGTTTTAGTTATATATATATATATTGAACTATAAAGAATAACTATAATTTTTTAGACCTTCACTTGGATCGTTCAAGCATGTCATTTTTTTCATGAAAAATTGCGCTTAAAGAATAACTATATATTATTGAACTATGAAATGTCGTAATTACGTCTAGTTACACATACTAAATTATTAGACTAATAATGTTTTTGGTGTGAAGTTTTTCTGTTTATTTAATTTTAAAATAAATGATAAGTTTGTTTTTGTTCTTTCAAAACTCATTTTTTTTAATTTTTACTATTTAAAAAAGTCTGTCATTTCAACAAAAAATAAAAAATAAAATTAAGCCTTACGATTAAACATTTTATTTGTATAATAATCAATCCAGTTACTATTAAAAAGAATAACTTGCATCATAATTTAATTTAAAAAGATAATTTGTGTCATACTTAATTCGATCACCATTAAAAGAAGTAAATTTAATTGTAATTAATCAATTTCAATTAAAAATGGTAATTTTTATCATAATTTGGTTACTTCTAATTCAATGATGAAATTTTTAAATAAGTATAAATTGTTTATAAAATTAACCACTCAATCTATATCGAATGAAATAAATAATAGAAACACATTTCTTTTATGTATTCTGACTGATATACTCAACGAAAACAAGTTTACATTGAATTAAAGGTTTATTGAAAAAACCTAACACACCCAAAAACATTTTTTCGTGTGTGTGTATTTCATAATAATACACACTTTAAATTGGATGATAAGAGCCATGAAGGCATATTTTCATAAAAAAGAGGACATAAAGCGAGAAAATAACAAGACCCATAATAGTATGAAGAGTTTGGGCTTTAAAATGGTAAAACAAAAGCAATTATGCACCTCCATAATTATTTCGGTTGGAAAATTAATAATAATTATAATCTTGATTTTAACTCTTAAACATAAACGTAATCCACACTAATAAATATGCTGTAAACTAAATGCGAAAGCGTACCTGAATCAGCCATAATGATGATATCCTTGTAAAACACTATTAATCTTATGGTCTTTCACTTGAAGAACACCTGTATTTTTTTTCTGAATTTTCTAGGATAGAAAGAAAGGAACGTGACTGAAACTTATATTCTGTCTGTGTGCTCCTAGAAGGGGACCATGACCCCTTAAAATAATCAAAATTAGGTTAATTACTTAAGTTTTAATATTTTTAATTTGACCCCTCATCAAATTAGAAATTGCTCTATGGTTTCTACAAAATTTTATTTTCATGACATATGCCTTTAGCCAAACTTTTTAATTTAGTCAGATCACTTTATTATTTGGCTTAATAAATAATGACCCTAACACATTTAAATTACGTATCATATATATACATGACCCAAATGTTGCCAACAATCTCCCACTGGTCACAAATATATATGTCCTTACAACCTTACAAATGTGTTAGACTTTATGAGCTCAAAATTGTCATTATATTCATTTAACATACTCTAAAATTCCTGTCCATTAATCATATCAGGATATAGAACCAAACCAACTTTTCATTGTATCATCGCAACTAAAATCAACAATGATTACTCATCCTGACATAGCCAAATGATATGGATTCATCATGAAATGTGTAGCATGAAAAATTACGTGAAGGTGATCTGTACACGTCTATTTTCAACTGGTCCAAACTTTAACTTATCGAGATCGATATAATATCCTTAATGTACAAAGTGTAATGAATGAACGAAAAAACCGCATATCTATAGATAACCAAATATGTCCAAAAAAATCAATGTATACATATATGAAATTAAACATAGAACATAAAATATATGAAAGTGACTAACTCCCATTAAACCACAAATTCCTCAAACTGTAAAACACCCATGTGAGCAACATGCTCATGAAAGACCTTGGGCGGAAGTCCTTTATGTAAGAATTAATGGTTGAGTTCAAGAGGGGGGGGTGAATTGAACTTTAGAAAACTTTTTCTAAAAACACACTTTCTCTTGGAAGAATGAATTATCTTTATTCAATTCTTCTATTAGGTAGATTTAGTTTTAATCAAAGCAAGAATATAGACAAGAAATAAAAGAGATGAAAGCAGAAATTCAACACAAAAGTTTATACTGGTTCACTCTTTCCCAGAGCTACATCCAGTTCTTGACAAATCTGCCAAGTTCCACTAATTCCAAGTGAAAATTACAACCAGTAGATATACACCAATCTACCCCAAGAACTATCTCACAAACCCACAAGATAGACTCTTGAAAAACCACCCAGTAACCAAATCAAGTTACTATAACCAGTGCAAATTCAAACCCAATCTACACAATCACACTTTATACAAGTAAATGAAAAGAATAAACCTGGACTGCAACTTTAACACTATAGAAGTCCAGAAGCAATTCTAACTCAGAATTTTCTCTCTTTGATGATCTTTCAACAATCTTGATCTAAACACCTTATGATATGAAAAGTGTATGATTGCACAGAGAAAGGCACGTATATGAGAACTCTAAGATTGTTTTCAATTGTTTTCCAAATTGTGTATTTCAAAAGAGAAATCAAAACTGTATTTATAGAATGAAAGAGAGAAACTGATTGATTAAATTGATTAAAACTGATTTAGAGTAGCAGATGATCGATCAGAATATCTATATGATAGATCAGAATCAGTTATGATCGATCAGAATTGAATTGTGATCGATCAGAATGTTTTTCAATCGATTAAAATGTCGTTTTAATCGATTGATTTTATTTAAAACTTCATTCAATCGATTAATTCGAGTTTTCAATGGATTGAAATAGTTTGGAAAAAAATGGTAGCTCTCTGTTTCAATCGATTAAAAGATATTTCAACAGATTGAAATCCTGTAATACCTTAGAATGAAAAAATGATCTCTCTGTTTCAACAGATTAAAACTAATTTCAACAGATTGAAATTCTGAGATACTCCAAAGTGAAAAATAACATCTTTCTGTTTCAACAGATTGAACTTGATTTTAACAGATTAAATTTGTGAAGCCATTAATATGGAAAAATCATTAAGAACATTTTAACCTGTTGATTCTGTGATTTAATCAATTAATATTTTGACTTTATATGAACATTTTCTATGTTAAGTAAATTTAACAGATTGAAAACTTCTTTTTAACAGATTTAAAAAAAACTCAATTTGTTCTTTTAATGCTTAAAGATTGGTTTTCCATGCAGTAAAATAAGTTCAATGAGATGCATCATTTTAAAGGCGCTTATCACAAGATCTATTGAACTATCAAGAGATTAAATTCTAAACCTATAACCTATTCACCTACACACCCACAAAATAAACTCTATAAACTCTATATGTCTTCATCAAATCCAACAAGTGCTTCAATCTCCCCCTTTTTGATGGAGACAAATCACCACTGCACCTGCATAAACAATAACAAAACAGAGACATATATGATTTTGTGATGTGTGTGTAGTGTCAGTTATAAGCAAAATACTTCTCCCCCTATTTGACTTCATCAAAAGGTGTTTAGTTACAGTCCATAAGTACCACGTATGTACCAAAAAAAACAAAAGAAACATGTGAACTTAAAGAGCTAAACTTCAATCATCTCCATCCCGGGGACCACTGATTGAATTGGAGGTCACCAATTACGTTGAAGATATCCTCCAGTTGATTATCAATGTGCTGAAATCGGCAATGGAGTCTTCATACGAGTCGATCTTTGGCGAGCTTGTAGAGCAAATGTCATTTCCATGTGCCTCCTTTGATTTGTTTGTAATTCATTCATCCGATGCAGCATAGTCATTTCAAACTGTGAGAGAGGCGTGTCACGGTCAGGTTGTGGTATATAAGGAATCACTTCCAATGGAGACTGCTCTTCCATGACATCTTCCATAGGGCCTGTTTGTCTTGTTTCTGCAGCACTCGGAGCACCAGTATTCTCATCTTCTTCAACTTCTTCTTCTTCTCTCCCAGCTTCTTCTTTCGAAATCCACTCACCATCAATCTTGATGAATCCCATTTTATGAAGGATGGAGTTGTTAACCTCATTCGTGGGACGAATGGTTTCAGCCAATTCTCCTTCCAAGTCAACACCAAAATGAGTTAGAAATTTAGAAATAAGGATTGCATAAGGATACCTAAAATCACTTAGCCTTTTTGCTTTGATCATATGGTTCTTGATGACAAATACCCAGTTTACTCTGATTTTGTGATGAATGCAGTACATCAGCACTAAATCACCTTCATTTAGTACTGCATGATTGCTCCCCCTGGGAGTAAGCTGCCAGGCCACTATGAATGCAAGAATTCTTTCTTCAAGTTTCAACTTTCCAGTGTTGAAGGAACTCACAGAGTCACGCTTATTTCTCAAACAAGAGTGAAAGTACTGGACTTTGTTGAATTCGTCCACATCAGAGGTATACCCTTTAGTGACTTTTACTCCTTCATCCTTGAGACCAGCAACATCTTTCCAGACAGTGGGAGTAATTTCTATATCCACTCCTTTGACTTGAGTTTTTAGTGTAGACCCTTCAAATGACAGATTAGTGAAGAAAACTTTAATAAGGTCGGGATAAACTCTACCATTGAGTTCAAGGAACTTCGAAGTTTACGGTGTTGCGGCGGTTTCGAACACCTCTGAATCCTTCGAGCATCCAACCACG